TGGAAGCAGCCGGTAGATGGTCGATTCGTTTTAATAGCAAAACGTCAGGTCCAACAATAAAGCAAAAATAAACGACTGGAGAAGTATTCTAATCTATTACCACTGAGGTGCTCTCAGCATGGCACCGTCCCCACACCCGTTGTGTGCAGTGATGTGTGTCACAATGACAATGACCTTTCCTTTCCTAAACTCAGAGTGTGCATCTGTGAATATATATTTTGACTAATCATTTATATTGTAAAGTGTAGCAGGATTTTTTTTTCAAATATGTACTATGATGTTAACAGTCTTGTCAAGATGTAAGTATTAAGATATTATGTCAACGTCTTATCTCACTCCAGAAATGAGCAAGCAGCAATGTTGTACCAGAACATCAGCCTGACAGAACCCAGACTGATACCCCAGTTTGAAAAAGTCATCCTGAACTTCACCAAAGAGATCAGGCAGCAAAACCTGGAGATGGAGAACCTGGCTCTGGCTATCAAAAGGTAAGACAATGCGTGTGCGCATACACAAAATAAAACCTCAATGTTCATTCATTCAGTGGCAGTAAAGTCCCAACAACAAATACATCCAACAAACACGAGACCTAGTCCAAAAGACTATTACAATAGAAACTTTAGGTGCAAAACATCTTTTGTTTTTATTAAATTCAACAACATAATATAAGGCTAGTCACAAACTATATATTATTAAATGATTGAATGTTATGGAAGATATGCACTGATACCGTTATTTTTCCCATACATAAGTATTGTCACTGATGCTTCTTAAGGTTGGGTTTCAATTAATGTGCAATAAACCGTGCCGTGTTATATAAGTGGATTATAGAGTAATGTGTACTGTAGTGAAGAGGTCCCCATCCCCTGGTTCAGGGACCGAAGTCATTTGCTACCAGTCAAAAAAACATCAAGTCATATCCATTTACTTTCTTCATTTAAAGATAATCTGGTAATGTTTCAAACCAATTGGTCATTCAGACTCTGATACAGAATAAAGTCTAAAAGATGTTTTATATTTAAAATTGAATGATCCTTTCAATGATGGCGCAGTATTACAGGTCCTCAGTAACGGCTGTTACCAGCCAACCGGTCCTTGGTACAAAAAAGGTTAGAGAAACCACTGCTGTAGTGTGTAGGATCGACCCTGCACCACAGTAAGACATCACTTAAAACTGAAACCATGTTAGACAGCATATCAACAAAGCTAAGGATAAATTATATGAAAATAATATGAAAAAGATGAATAAAATGAAACTTCCTGTACTGTTGATACAGACAACTAAACAGAAAGTGAGCAGAGATTCCACGCCATTAGCACAGTTCAGTTGAAAACACCAGTAAACAAAGAGTCACTTGAACCATGTGATAAGGCTGGGCAAATAATTGAACTTTGATTTCGATTACGATTTTGGTCAGAACAAGACAATGGAAATAAAATGGTTATTGTGGCAATCCAACACAAACGGTAGTTCCACTTTCAGCACGTTTTGAAGCAGAGGAAGAGGAAGTTGAATATATGCTAATGATTCTGTCTCTGTTTGTTTAGGATGCGCTGCAATGTGTTAGTATGCTGCCACATCCTTTTTGATATCTATTTTTATATATTATATGTATATATAATATATATACTATATATATATATATATATATATATAGAGAGAGAGAGAGAGAGTAGCAGAGTGCTATAAATCATTGTTTTCAGAAGGAAAACACACAACAATGGCTGACTAGAATTTTCCAAGTCACCTAATGTACCTTTTTTGTAACCCGTAAATATACTTCATTTATGTGATATGCCACCTTTTTAAAATTATTTTACTGTAATGTCAGGAAAAAAAAGAGCCAGTTCTTGCTCTTCAGTTTTTCATTAATGTATCCTGTAAAATATCTAGTGAACAAAGAAAAGAACTATGTTTGTACTTCAGTGACAGTATTCCTCTCTCCCTGGTCCTGTAGGGCACAGGACCAGGCATCTATGCAACTGAGTGAGATGGAGGAGGAGATGGACCAGCGCATCCAGGCTGCAGAGAAAACAACACGAGAACAGGTGAGTGGAAGATGATGTGTCTCCTGTGACTTGAATTGAGTGGAAGTTTCTGTTGGTGATAGAGCCTAGTGTTTCCATTGTCTTTGTGGCTGCAGTTTGTGTAGTTAAAGTGTTAAGGTGGGTGTGTTTGGAGCACTCGTCCCTCATGTAAAACAAACATCTAAACATCAGACGACTGATCCAAACTCCTAACTCTGCTGCGTTTTACAACGAATGTTTTAAACAGCAGCCAGATGGCGCTAAAACATGTTAGTTGAACTGTTGACTAAAATACACTCAAGAAGTGAAAATGTATTTACATATTTGTACCACAACCAGCAGTAAAATACATTTCATGCACAGAGTCTGCAGCTCTCTGTCTTTAAATCCTGGAACATGCAACCTATGTAAGTGTACCTCAGCCACACAGGAGCTGCTGTTTAATTTGTGCATGAAAAGCACACAAAAAGGTCAGAGTGCACCAATGACGTGCGGTGAGGTTCATGGCTGGTGAGGCACTGACTCCTCTGGAGTCAGATTTACAATTGTAAGAACTGAAAAGAGCATCTTATTTCTCTTGGATGGTACATAGGTTTATTACCAGGTGATGTTGTTGGATGAATAGTGAAATAAGATGAAATAAGATCATCAGCATTCCTCTTTGAATGACACTGACACCAACACAAACATATGCACAGGAACATATTGGTCCTACAAAGAACGTATCTTTATACAAATGGACAGAGCACCCTTGTCTAAGCAATTTATATTTACTGTAAACAAATAGAGATGGGTGCAGCACAAATTTAATTTTGACCTTTAGTAAAGAATTCGGTTATTTTTTAAACTTTAAATTCTGGTGCTTTGATCAAAGGTTGTATATCAATTTGATAAGAACATATATATATTTTAGGCCAGATATTTAGTTATTAAATACTTGAATTTTTTCCTACTTACTCCCATCTTATTTTTACGCTAATGGACACTAATGTTTAGTGTCCGTTGCTCATCCGATGCCAAATCGATCCTTGAATTTCCAGAATTTTTTGAAGACATCTGGCTTTGGTTGTTTGTTGCTGATCTTCTTTGTCTGCTGAGGCTTCTTTGTAAATGTTTCAGGTCACAGTATCCCGAGTTAGTCCAGACGTTATCACACAATGAGAGTAAAAGGCAATATAGGTGATTTCCTAACTTTTAGATAACCTTTTAGCTCCAGCGTTGGTCTTCCATCACTAATCGTCTTCTGTCTGGACCAAAAGTCTAGTTTTGAGAAATATTTCTGTCTTGAAATACAATACATAGTGAGTCGGATCAGGCAGATTATAGAAAACGCTGTTCTTCACCTACTACTGGCTCTAGCTTAGCGTCGACTTTCAGTACACGTACGACCGCTGAGGTGAAGCAGAGTACTATTTGCCTCCCCTGCCTACTTTTCGCTGCACTTTATTGGCTGGAACAGAAACGGGCCTGCGTCATGTGACCCAGTTTGATTGGATCGCGCAGTCAGAAGAGAGGCACAACTCGTCTGTGCCTCATCCAGGATTTAAATGCGAAACACTCAAATTTGGCGATTTTTACTCAATAAAATATAAAAAATGTGTAGTCTACTGTGGAGTCTACTGAAAATGCATCTTTTACACAGATCAGTGGAAAATATTAATATTTATTTTATGTATTTTTTTCTCCGTTTTTATCGTGATGGCAGGTGAGGTACTGCCTCTCCTGCCTCCCCTGACCGCACGGCTCTGGATTGCACTCACAGACAACTGAAAGAACTATTTCTGGAAACTGTAGCTGATAAACTTCAATCAATCAATTATGCAACGGCTTATGTTGGTGTTGCTCCTGCCATGAAGTTGCCCCCAAAACAACACCGATTATTGAGTCAGACATGATAAACAGTGCTGGACTATAGGGATCAATTGTTAAATTTTATTATATCTTGGAATATTGATGGAGAACTTGAAAAATATTTTCAATGGAATGAAGACTTCTTTTATAGACTTTGATTTAACGCAATGACAGAAAACAAGAGTGGTGATTAAAAAAAATAGCTTCATAAGACAACATGAAATAAACAAATTTACCATTGACGACGATTCAATCACTGTATGTTGGGCTCCTGTGTGTGTTTCTGCAGGAGAAGATGCGAGCAGAGGCAGAACTGAGTGAGATACGGAGAGACTTTGAAACTGAAGTGTGTGAACTTCAGTGTAAGATCCAGAAGATGCAGTTGGTGGGTTGATGCTAACACAAACATCATTTTAAATTCTAGTTTTTGCACAAACAAAAGAAGCAGGAGTGAATCAAGAAGAAATAATGACCATTGTAGACACTGATTTAGATTCTTACCTAAATTCTGGTCTGATCTCTAATCTCTAATCCAGGGGTGTCAAAAAGGCCCACGGGCCAAAACTGGCCCGCTTGATTAATTTTGAAAAAAATTAAAATTAATAAAATGCACAAACACTTTATGTTCAAGAATTTCTTAGTAAAACTGCATGTCCTTACATTTGAATACATAATAATAATAAATATCTAAAATGCTTGTACTTATTTGCAGGAAAACAAAGAAAAAATGACTTATTTTGAGTTAATAGTCAATTATGTTGTGATTGTACTGGTGTGGCCCACTTGACAACCAGGTAGGTTGTATGCAGCCCCTGAACTGAAATGAGTTTGACACACCTGGCCTTAAGTATATGAGTGTATGAATTTGTGTAACTGAGTCACAAATTTTGGCACAGGCACAAAAAAAGAGAAAAAAAAAGGAAGAACTGAATCAATAAGCCGTTCACTCTGTATGAAATATCTCCACCTTCACCTGCTGCTTGCTCAGACTTTATGCTGGGATTAAATGAGGAGCTGACCAGAGATTCTCTGAAAAGAAGTGACTTCTGCAGCTCCTTGGGCTTTAGTGCATGTGTGGAAGCAGTTTGTGTTATATATTGTAATTACCTAATATACTCTGTATGAACTGGAGATAAATATGGCACACACTGGTACAGTAAAGTCAGGTCAAGTGTTAAAGACAAACACTTTTTTGTGAAAGTGCCTTATTTACACCAGGCCTGGGGCTTCAAAATATACTCTATAGACCAGGTTTATTCATCTCTATGGTGTAGCATATGTATTTGAGTATGAATATGTTCAATGACTTCATTAACTTGAAGGAAAACCATAAGTAACTATGTCTTTGGCCATACATACATTCATACATACAAAAATGATTCACAGTCTGGTGTTGGTAAATACATGCGATGCACGTGCAGTGGAGTTCAATCTATTAATTAATTTAATTAATTTAATTAATAATTCAATCATTCAGTGATTCAATGATTGATTAAATTCAATATGATTTTGTCGGTCAGATTGAAGAGAAGTACATGAACATCACAGTGAAAGACCAGTCTCTGACATTAAAGAAGACGATCTCTGAGATGACGCTGGTGAGACTCACGCTTATTGTTTCTGTAATTCTAAAACATTTGTTTTCTCCGCTGAAAAGGGTGTGTCATCCTTATCCTGCTTCTGTGAATTGAAAACAGGAAAACCAGCGACTGAAGCAGGAGCTGCTGAAATCTCAGACCAAAGTCGCCTGTTTACACAGTGAGATGGACTTACTGAAGACCGAGTTAGCTGATCAAAGTATCAACTCTGAAAGGTGAACTTCACATTCACCTTTCTCCATGCGCTGTATCTGTTAGGAAACATTGTTTTTCCAACCACCAAAAAGTTAAACCAAGTTAATTAAGTTTAAAATAACCTTTAATGTAGCTGAGCCTTGATGTAGCGCTCTCGATTAGCACTAAACTAGTTAACATTCAAACTAGTTAACGAGTTAACATTCAAAAATACGTGGGAAAACAAATGTTCATTTTAGCCAAACTAAGAAGTGAGAAAAAATGTTTTAGTCTGAGTCTGATGTTCTTTGAAGTTAATAATAAGAACTTTACATTGTTATATGAAAGTCTTCGGCTACTCTTCAATGCTTTAGCCTCAATGCTAAACACACTGTTAGATCACAGGATTATTTAGTCCAATGCCTTTGGGAAATTTCTCGATCTGACACTGATCTTGCAACTGCGCACATGGAGAGAACTCGTTTTTAATTAGTGCAATAATACTCTTAGTAGCATTAGAGTTTTAACTTGAGTTTGGTAAATATTTGCTAGGACTGCACTGCTAACGAAGTGAGTTGAACAAGTTTGGGAACACACCACGACTGTCAAGAGAAAGAGAGCAAGAGAGAGGAGGGGAGGAGATCCGTGAGTTCTGTCAGAGCATTAACAGGATATCCTGGAACACCTTCAAACACATAATAACTTCTGTACAAGCGTCACTTAGCAACAGCAGCAGCTGAAATGACAGCGGAGTCACACTGCTCCGGCACAAACTGTCTCCTCCTGTTGCCTCTCTTATTCCTCTGTCCCTAATTATTATTAGTTATTAACAAAATGGCTAAAGTTACAAGTTAAATTAATTAAAAAAAACACAGATCTAAACATATATAACACATTTTGCATTTAGTATTGTAATAGTACTGCAGTAGTTATAAAACAATCATGAATTATTCATGATTAAAAAAAGAAAAACAGCAGAAAAACAGATTCTAACAACTTGTAAGAGGCAGCAGATATTAAAAATATTATTTTATGCATAAAACAAATTTTTACCAAATGTTAATTATATTATTATTTATTTATTTATGATAAATATTCTTCTGCTTTGGCAGCCACATAATCATATCTCACTTAAAATTTTAAATTTGTCATGGATAAAATGTTTTGGAAGGTAAAGTATCCACCAATCACCTGTCAGTTTCAATGCAGCTCTATTTCCATTTTTCCACCGTAAAATAAATACACTTGGTGCATACATGTAAGGCATACCCATAGTATATAAGCATGGGGTTGTAACAGATTCTAGCTGAGATAGAGCAGTGTTTATTAAACTTTTTGTTGAATGTTGGTGTTTTTGATGAAGGGTCAGTATAGTTCAGCATAGCAACTGTGTTATCGTCTCTCTAATATATATATATTTATTTAAAGAGAGGAACAAAATGATTATAATTTGTTGTTATAACATTGACAATCATCAGATAACTTCAAGTTTATACCTAAATTTAAATGTTTTAGGTTTATGTCCCTGTTGTGTTACAGAGATGAGGAGCTCATGCACCAGTTCTCTGAAGAACGTGACATTCTGGAGAGTCAGATTGAGATTTTGCAGTAAGACACAAACACATATACACACAGTGTACACACACTGTTTTTGATTCTAAGGGCCAATATTGTGTATGCTTGTGTGTCTGTGTGTAGACAAGCTAACAGAAAGCTTCATGACACTAATGATGGTCTGAGGACAACTCTGGAAAGGATTTCAAGGGTAAAAATGCACTTTAATTTTTTTTATGTGTTAGGTTTGTTAGTAAACTTAATGTTTTGTCATAAGGAATGTGGAAACTGTATTTAATATTAAAACTCATATATGTTTCTTTTCTATTGCAGTCTGGTAACAGTGAGTCCCCAGTAGAAATGAAGAGCAGGAACAGGAGTAAGAGCATCTGTTACACATCGCCGTATGCGTTAATAGACAGGTGAGAGCTAATCACTTTGGATGTCTATATGCAACACTTTTCATCTAACAAGTACATAGTTGGGGTGATGAGGATTGGTGGTGACTCAACACCGTATGCTAACATATCCCTAACAGTAGTGGTACTAAAATAGTAACAAGGATTTAAAGCAAACATTAAAACTCTACCTGATTTTATGCATCACTTCATCCCTTCCTGTCATGCTCCTCAGGTACTGCCAGCGTATGAACGACAACTTCTGTCCGTACAACCATCAACCCAGCTCCGACACACTGGCCTTGGCCATGTGTGACCCCGGCCTGATGCGCAGGAACAGCAGTGAGTGTGAAGAGGACAGTCTGCCTGAATTCTACATGGACAGCGGCCTGTCCACACTCAGGGGCTCCCATGGTGGTTACGACTCCGAGCAGGAGGTTAAAGGTCACGAAGATGAAGACGAAGAGGAGGAGGAAGAGAGGGGGAAGAAGACAGTGGAGGATGACAGAATGATGGGAGAAAACTCAGATACTGAGGTGAGAACCAGAAGGAATTCTGTTACGTCAAATATGTGTCTCCACATTGTCTGTGTTGGTAAGAACTGTCCACATGTGACCCCACTGCAGCCAGCAGAGACACAGGACACCGAATCTGCATTTGGTTCGGACAGCAGCTCAGTGTTGGACTGGAAACTGCCTGAGATCACTAGTGACAGCAAAACATCGAAACCCCAAACGAGGGCTCTCAGTGCCATCAGTGTTCAGGTAGATATTTAACTCAATACAGATATTTAATGTCAATACATTTCCCAAGGATTAAATATCCACCAATGCATGTATTAATAATATATGCTATTATTTATCTTTACACATGTTTTTTCCTGGTAAAAAAGTTAAAAATTAAAGTTGTAAAGTTAATTTCTGTCACATCAGGATCTTCCGGATTTTCAACCGTAGTATAACTTACAGCCACATTAGGGAGGTAACAGTCCAGCTTGGCAACTGTTTACCAGTTTCATGAAAATAACACGTGAATATGGATCTTGAGATACTATAGTAATAGGTAGAGTTTTAAATATTTAGATTTAAGTATTTAAATTTAGTCTCATATACTTTGCTAATATTTGTATTGGTTAGTAGTTCTTCCTTATAGCACTAACCACAGAACCAATGAACCACCAACTACATTTAACCCTGTAGAACTGTAATGATAGTAAGGAGTTTTCAGATTCTTATCTTGTTTGTCCAGTTTCCTCCCACAGTCCAAATGCAAAAAGGATTATGTTAACGATTTGCTCTAGACCAGGTGTGTCAAACATACGGCCCACGGGCCAAAACCGGCCTGCTTGATACATTTTCAAAATAAAACACTTCATGTTCAGGAAATGTTTTCTAAAATTACATATAACAATTGTGTTATGATTGTACTGGTCCAGCCCATTGCCCACAGCCCAAGTCTGGCTCCTGAACTAAAATGAATTTGACACCCGTGTTTTAGACTGACCATAAGTGTAGGTATGTTAGATGATCTGTCCACGTGTGTCCATGTGTACAAAATTTCCATCTGATGAATTAATGAATGTATGGTAGTTATATTTGTATTTTAACTGTGCAATATGTTGGTTAACTTAAGCTTACTTCACTTAATAATAAATTTAAATTTAAATTTAAGTTGGAGTGATGTGTGAAATTACATAAAGAGTGACATGTTGCTTTGTCACTTTCTCATATTCAGAAGGATGAAGATAATGTTAACCGGGGCTACATGACGTCAGAGAAGGCCTTCAGAATCGTTTTGGCAGGAGACGCTGCTGTGGGAAAGTCCAGCTTCCTGCTGCGCCTTTGTAAGAATGAATTTATGCCAAGCTCCAGTGCAACCTTGGGTGAGTTGGATTAGAAAAAGATATATTTTATGTGAACATATCACTCTCAGCACTGCTTTGTAGAAAGAAATCTTATAACTACTGTATTTGTCAGACTATAAGGCGCACCGCAATATAAGGCGCACTATCAATGAACAGGTCTATTTTCATACATAAAGCGCACCAGATTATAAGGCGCATTAAGCAAAACAAAACAGTCAGCCAAACAATTAAGTGAAACAATCAAGCATGCCCGGATCCCTCTCGTCATTATTCGAGTCAGTCTCGTTGCTGTTAATTAGTTTTTCAGTGATGATTCCGGCCTTCGTTAAAGCTCGGACCACATTTCAGACTGATATCTTAGCCCAGCCATGATCCATTGGCAGAGGCGTAGCCTCCCTGTCTTGGTGAATGTGTGTCCGCCTTCTGTCATCCAATGCTTCCACACAGCTCGCAATTTAACTTTAAATTAACACCAATATTTTGGATTTGGAATTGGACGGTTGGAATTCTGTGGGTGTTGACAACGTTGGTGAGATGGGCGCGCATGGATCAAAAGGGACAGGGATTTGTGGAAAAAGGGTAGTGACCTATGGTGGACACTGGAGTTGGTGGACACTGCTGTTGTTGTTGTTCGTCCCTCCAGAGTCAGGTGGATGTCACTATTTTTGTTCTGGGTGGTCACCGTATTGTTGTTTTGACGCTGTTCAGTGCTGAAGTGCGGATGATGTTTTGCAGAGAGTGAGAGAGTGTTTTTTTTCCTGTATCGATAAAAAATGAGAAATAAAAGCGTTTTTGACCACGAAAAAGTCGACAGCCATGCCTCTGAGTCGTCCTTCTGCATCGCACCTTACATCGACAATACAAAAACAAAATGCACACAGTACATAGTTACACAACCATACAGTAACAATTGTTGTTGAGCATCTTCTAATTGTGATAATAGAGTTTAATGTCATTGTTGGCTCCAAGTGTGCTCCAGTTGTGTGCCTTCATGTGTGATGCGCTGTGTGGTTTGGCTTTACAAAATCGGTTCGAGCTCAGTAGCCGTATTACCCCTAATACATAATGCATGCAATGTTGCAAAAATTAAAGATTTTTAAGTGTGCCTTATAGTGTGAAAAATATGGTATTTGTAAAAGAAAAAATAACTGGTCCAAGATCCAGAGCCAGTTCTGGCTGGTTTGACTTAGGACTTTACAGTACAGCTGTGCATCCACATTTAATTTTTTTTTTTTGGTAGTGGGCGCATATGACAACGGCACCCCCCACGTCTGTTTGAGTCTGTTCACTAACAAATGCACTGAATTTATTAAGAATTTATGAATTTATATACACCCTTGTATAACACGATACTTCTCAAATAGTGGGGCGGGGCCCCCCGGGGGGGAGGGGTAAGGTGTCAGGGCGGGCGTGAGGGACTTCCAATAGAACATGGCTGGACATAAGTGTACCACTGCTTTAATGCTTAAATGATAGCAAGTGTCTAGTCACTAGGTGACAGCAACTTATACAGTGGTTTGTACAAAGTATATATATATAAATGTTATCAGGTCCTCAATAGTATTTCAATTTGTGGGAGTGTGGGTTTGAGGGAGGGGGTGTGTGGAAACATTTCTGTCCAAAATGGGGGCATGACGGAAAATATTTATTGGTATAACTTCCTTAAAAGGGTAATATAATAAATGGAACTCCGCCATTTTTATGTCCTGTATATTAAAGTCAGATGACACAGTGAAAAATCTTGTAAAACATAGAGTGATGTAACTAAAACTAGAGCTATTCTAGAGTTAGAGGCCACATCATCCTGTCCTGGGGCCACAAATTGTTTTACCATCCAGTGAGAGGATGCTATTAACCTACAACTATTGGACAAGGCTGTGAACATGCTGACATGATCTCATGTGCTGTTACTGATGAAGGTCACAAATTCTGTCCTTAAAAAATTCTTAAAACAGGGGTCCTCAACCCCTGGTCCGGGGACCGGTGCCAGTATGTAGGTCATTCGATAGTGGGCTGCAGTGGGACACAGTAAAAAATGTAGTCCATGTAATCCAGTTATATCCCTTTCCTTTTTTTCATTTAAAGATAATCTGGTAACGTTTCAAAACAATAGGTTGATACTAACAGATTAAAATAGTAACGGCTGATACCGGCCGACTGGTTGTTGGTATTTGAGAAATTTAGTTGATATTGATTTTTTTTTTTTTTTTTGTTCAGGAGTGGATTTCCAGATCAAGACACTGGTAGTTGATGGAGATCCTGTTCTACTTCAGTTATGGGACACTGCAGGACAGGAAAGGTATAATCAGAATAATATGTGGGTATATATTATATCAGAATCTAGTCTAAATCCAATTAACCAATTTTTCCCCTCTCCTGTAAAGGTTCCGCAGCATTGCTAAGTCATATTTCCGTCGAGCGGACGGTGTTTTGCTGCTGTATGACGTCACCTGTGAGAGAAGTTTCCTTAACGTGAGAGAGTGGGTGGATATGATAGAGGTAAAGTTCTGATCAAACAAAAATCTTTAAAACGGAATCAATGGTTTTTGTTTTATTAATGAAGCAGTTTTATTGGTTACCGTATATTTCGGACCATAACAGCACCAGGTTATAAGGCGCATTAAGCGAAACAAAACTGTCAATCAAGCATACAGGGATCTTTTGTCATTATCCGAGTCAGTCTCGTTGCTGCTGATGATTACGGCCTTCGTGAAAGCTCGGACGACATTTGAGACTGATACGTTAGCCCAGGCATCCACGGTCCATTAGCAGATAGTGCCGTAACTCGCCCGGCGTTGCCTCCCTGTCTTGGTGAATGTGTGTTTGCCTTCTGTCATTCAATGGTCCCACGCAGCTCGCAATTTAACTTTGAAACACCAATATTTAGCGGTTGGAATTCTGTGGTTATTGATGGCAAGCCCCGAATTATTTTGCTTCACTTGGGTTTTGACAATATTGGTAAGGGGGGGCTACATGGAGTCGCATGGCGCCATACATTGACAATTCAAAATAACGTGATAAGTTTATCGTAATTGCGTGAAACTTATCACGTAATAACGTAAAACTTAGGTTATTTCGTTTATACGTTTTACGTTATTATGTGATACTGAGCCAATTTTTTTCCTCTCAGTGTGGCAGCAATACGCTTCCATAGACATGTCAGTGTTGATGATGGAAAAAAATACAATTGTTTTTGTCCAAATATTTTGTTAATATTTCTGCATGTTGAACAGTGTGTGACGTCATGTGTTTGCTTTGTCTTCTACCACTGTTCTGTAGTTTAGATGTTTGGTAATATGATTATGTTTGTTGTTGTTGAAAACCAGGACCTATCTCCAGACAATATTTCCATCATGCTCGTGGGCAATAAGTGTGACCTGAGACAAGACGGAGCTAACTTTGTTCCTACCAGCTATGGTGAAAAGCTGGCCATGGTAGTTACATACAAACAGGCTCTGTCATCATTAGTCTCATAAATCCATTACTTAATAAGATTATTGACTTTCTGTTTCTCCGCTGACAGACATACAACACTCTGTTCTGTGAGACTAGTGCCAAAGATGGTTCCAACATCCTGGAGGCTGTGTTGCATTTGGCCAGGTGAGAATTAACAGAGTTTACAGATTAAAAACTCAAGAGCTGTTCATAATTGGAAACAATGTTGTTACATTAAGAAAATCATGCAAAAGTCAAATTGTATTTCTCAGATATTTAAAAGAAATGACCAAACATGAAGCTGTCCACACAGAAAATCTTGATGTGTTTAAAGCTCAAAGTTAATATTTACATTTAAAGATAAAAATTCAAACTGTAATCTAGGTATAGTTATTCAATTGCAATTCATCCATCCATCCATCCACCATCATCAACCGCTTATCCGGGGCCAGGTCGCAGGGGCAACAGTCTGAGCAGGGATGCCCAGACTTCCCTCTCCCCTGACACTTCCTCCAGCTCTTCTGGGGGGACCCCAAGGCGCTCCCAGGCCAGCCAAGCGTCTTAGTTGCTCCAGCGTGTCCTAGGTCTTCCTCTAGGTCTCCTCCCAGAGGGACAGGACCCGAGCACCTCCCGAGGGAGGCGTCCTCTGTCTACTTCGAGCTCCTCTCGTGTGACAGAGCTCCTCACCCTATCTCTAAGGGAGCGCTCTGCCACCCTGCGGAGAAAGCTCATTTCAGCCGCTTGTATCTGGGATCTCGTTCTTTCGGTCATGACCCAGAGCTCATGACCATAGGTGAGGGTAGGAACGTAGATCGACCAGTAAATTGAGAGCTTTGCCTTTCGGCTCAGCTCCTTCTTCACCACAACGGACCG